ATTATTCTTTTGAATCACACTATAAGTTCTCTTTTAAAAGCATTGTTTGATTCAAAATATAAAGTATTGGATGACTTTTATAATTATATTTTCAACTATACCCCTACTTCATTTATTATTTTTGAAAAAAACAATGCATTAAAATTTTATTTATTATTATTAAGATGCTTATATAAGATATTTAATGATGATCTAACTAAAAAAATGCAAATTTTTTTAAAAAAATAAGTTCAAACTAACATTTTTTTCTTATAACTCTGAACTAGTTATCAATATACTATATTTACATCCGGAGGAAGAAATTGCTAATAACTTGCTCTCCATCCATATGATGTCAGTAGTCACATTCCAGTTTTCATGAAATCCATATTTTATTTATATCGGTGTTTGGAGGAAATGCCAAAGGAAGGCTTAATAGGGCACATTTGTTTTGCAAGCCAACCATGAGTTATGTAGGCAACAGGCGTGGTAGAAAATAATGACTAAAATTAGAGCTGATAATTTGAATCAAACCCAACAAGCTAGCTAAAATCTATCCAAAAAATTTAAGGCCAAAATCAAAAAAAGTACTACTTTTTTTTTTATTTGGCCCTATTCAGGCTACCCAGATAAGCCTGAGGAAATTTTTGCCAAGCCTGATCGGGTTCAAACTTAGCCCAAATACAAGAATGAGAAAATAAATTTATATAAAATATGATAAATATTAATTAATTTTTTAAGTTTTATATCATTTTATACTAAAATACTATATATTTGAGTGTTTTAATATATTTATTTTTTAAAAAATTAAAAAATAGTTATATTTCATATTTTTATTATTTTTAATCAATAAAATATCATAAGATAATATTTAAAATATATTTTAATATTAATCTTTATATTTTAAGACCCAAATTTTTTTAAAAAAATGGCTTTGAGTCCCATACATTATTTGCATATAAAAAATTAATTTTTTATTTTTTGTGAATTAAGATAATTAATTTTAAAGTGAAAATGAAAAATAATTTAAAAAAATTATATACTTTAATCTATCCATGAGAACTTATATATATAATATAACAATATGAATTTTTAAAAAAAAACAAAAATGGACTTTCAAGCCTTGAACCTAATCAATAAAAGTTATACTTTAGAGAGTAACGAAATTTATATATCTAAGTTTATACAGATCAAGCTCGCCTGTTCCAAATCTCAAAAGAAAAACTATATATTTAAATTTATATACTAAAAATACATCACTTTAAATTGAAAATAGATATACATATTAATAATAACTAGTGAAAAAATAAAATAAGTGATGCGTGAAAAATAAAATCGCATATCCTCATTTAATTGGAAACTACACGTATACAAGTACTTAAATTTTTTGAGAAGATGATATTTAAGTATTAGAATGTTAAATTAATAACAATTAGGTTGTGACAAAATTTTTCAAAAGATAAGTTGAAAATGTCGGTCCACATAATTGCAAATTCAAGAATTTTAACTATATATATACATTTAAATATTAAATATAATTTTAAAATTGTAACAAGAATTTCTATCTATAAATTTTCAAATTAATATTTATAATTTATTATTGTTTTTTGAAAATTTAACTGTCATTAATTTAAATTTTAAGGCTTAACTATCATTCTTTTGAATTTTTCTCTCTCTTCTTTTCGTATATTGCTTAATTTTTGGGTGGAACTTCCCTTTTTTTTTTTTGGGTTGTGTCTTTCCTTCCCTTACAGGTGATGATCTTTTGTAATATACTATTTGCATAATTTTGGCCACGAGAGAATGACAAAGAATTCTTAAAATAAGTAGTTAATTTAATTTAGATCTCAAGTGTTGACTTTTAAGAATTTGTAAGTTCAGCTTTTAATTTTACAATTTCATTGTAAAGAATTTTTAACTTATTTTCTAAATTTTAATATGATTAAATAATAAATAAATTTATTTTTCTTATTAAAATTTAAAATATAAGTCATAAATTCATCATAATGACGTTGTAAAATTAAAAGCTAAATTTATAAATTTTTAAAAATTGACACTTGTGATTTATGTTAAATTATTTGATCTTACAGCTTTCAATCTAACGATCAACGTGCCTAAATTAAGAAAGGGTTCAATTCAATTAATCACGTGCTTTTCATTCCACAAAACTCCTCCGCTTTTGGAATACAAGTGGCAGATTCTTTGTTTTTTATTTTTTGGGTTTTAACACAAGGTAATAACTTTTATGTGTATTATATTCGAGTTACATATGATAACAATTTTTTTTCTAGCAACTTAGCATTGTAGTGTAGATGAGAGGAGGAATTTTCTTGTAATAATAAAAAGTAAATTTAAAAATAAGGATTAGGTTTGACAGATTGTCAATTTAAGTCTTTTTTATATCAGTACGGGTTTAAAAAAATGTCATTTTTTATAAAAATCAGGCCTCAAGACCCAATTATAATAAACCTTATAAAATAAGTTCAGGCAACTCTTTTATTCTAACTCTAAAAAAATAAATTATTTTTATTTTTAAGTTGAATTTAAAATTTAAAAGTTGTTTATATTTTAAAATTAGATTTTATATTATTTATTTTTAATTTTATAATATTATAACTTGTATATTAAAAAATATAAAATTTTAAAATTTTAATTTTAATTTTAATTTTTTAAAAATTTTAAAAATAATAAGAACGGGCTTATGGGTCCAAACTTAAACCTTTTGAATAAAAGCTAAGCTTAAAAAATTAATTAATTTTTAAAAGTCATGTTTAAAAACTCAAAACCATATATCTAGGCTTGCTTGTTTTTCACATTTAATTAAAAAAAACAAAAAGTGCCATCTAAAACTAACAGTAAAGCGTGGAATAAAAAAGAAAAGAGTGGCTTTTCAAGTAGAGCCGGGAAAACGGGTTAAGCCCGCAGGCTAGCCCGTTTAACCCGCACAATTTGATAAGTTGAGTTAAAAAAATTGATCCATTTTTTAAAACAAGTTGGGTTAGCCTAACTCGCAAAAAAGCGAGTTAAAACGGGCTGACCTGTGGGCTAGTAATATTTTTTAAAAAATATTTTTTTTATTTTTTAATTATATTATATCTTTTTATAAATTTTCAATAATGATAATATCTCTTAAATATATAATTTATGAATTTTAAATATGTTCTTTACATTTAAAATATAGTGTAAATTCTTTTTATAATTTGCAAATAAAATTTTTGTTATAGTTTATGAAGATGATTTATTAGTTTTTATAGAAATGTTTTGAATATATATTATTTATTAATCTCATAAATTTTATTGATTGAAATTATAAATATGAATTCACTAAGAAAAATAATATGAGTTTATATTCAAATTTTCTTTATTAGTGACAAAGATAGCACACCTAGGTGAAAAAATGATTAATAATAAAAATCTAGCAAAATGAATTTGCTTGGTTAAATTCTATATTTATTTTATTTATTTATAAATTTTTTAATTTCTTATTTGCTTTAAAATATGAAATAAATATATATATTTATATTATATAAATTTTAAATTATTAAAAAAATTTGATAATTTTTTGCAGGCTAACCCGAGGATTGACTAGCCCGCTGGAAAATGGGTTGGATTAGATTTTCCAGCCTGTTTCATCTGACGGGCTGGTCCAACCCAACCCGTAAAACTGTCAGCCTGCGTGGATTAGCCCGCGAGCTGGCCTGCAACCCATTTGCCTAGTACTGTTTCCAAGCCTTCATTATCTCTGCAAAGCTAGAATAGGCTTATACGTTTGGAAGAAATTTGAGTTGTATTAACATATATGCTCTAGTTCAACTACAGAAGAATTTCTTTATATTTTTTCATTGAGTTTTGAATAATGAAACTAATGCGCGAAACTTTGATCAAATTCTTTCAGGAATTAAAAGGCAAAGTCGAGCCCGGATTTATTGAAAGACATTGTTTTTATGTTTCCACATGGTTCATGCTGCTGCAGCCATTTTTTTTTTTTTAAAAAAAACCGCAACCCCCGAAAAAATACAAATTCATCAGCATTCTCCAAAATCTGACCGATTTTGCACCAGGCTAAACGGATTCTTCGCATACTGTTTTCATCAAGAGACATGCATTACTTATGCCGGGGCACGGGAAGGGCACTTTCGAGTTACTCTCTCCATCCTTGTATATTAAAAAAAAAAAATAATCCTCAAACATAAGAGGTTATTAATATAAATTTTAATAGATAAATCATTATATCCTTATTAAATTAAAATATATATATATATACTTATTAATTTACTTTAAAAAATAAAAATTCTTTTTTATGATAATTAAAAGTAAAATTAAAATGATAACGTACTTTTAATTAAAAAACTAATTTTTATTAATTTACATAATTTGATTAAAAATATTTTATATATAAAAACGGTGAAAGTATACCCTAATATATTATGATACATATATTGTGCGCGCGCGCGTAAACCATAAAATAGGGAAACAAGAAACACGAGACAAAAACCAGCGATGTTGACAACCAGGCAAAAAGAATTCTTTCATGCCGCAAAGTTTCAAGCACAACATGATCTTCCACTCGGGCTGATTAAACAAGCCAAAAAGGCGGAAGAAATTTTCCTTGTCTCCCTCACTCTAACATTCAGTCCAGATTGAGCAGAATCAGCTAAGGCACATGGGCAGAAGGATCAGAGAATTTGCTAGTACTCAGACAAGTGAATCACCAAACGCATCTAATCCGCAGAATTTGCACCACCTACTACTAAAGTTAAAATTAGCATTTGTTTTCTGCATAATATGAAATCTGAAAGATAAACCGCAATATTCATTACTCATGAACCAATTAGAGGTTTTATAGACACAGATACTGTGTTAATAACATAACAAAATAACAAGTCTTATCATAGGGCCGACTACACACGGACTGTATGACGACGTTATTGTAATCTATCATATGCCAAACATAACAAAACTAATTGAAACCTAACGTGACAGATGCAGCCGCAGGCACAACATATTCTTTCAATCATCTATTTCCGACAAAACCAACTTCAAAAAGGGATTACTAATAACCTGAAGCATTTGTCTTTCCCTCCCGGCGTAACCAAAGGGGTAAAGGGGCAGTGAGAATGCGCGCGCGCGCGCATATATATCTTGAAATGGATCAACATACATTAATATGACTACAGTAATAAGTCAAAGTAAAACCACTATCCGTCAAATAACAACAGAGCCATCAGTATTCTAATCATTCCTTCAGGGTCAATCTAAACCGGTACAAACACTTCAAACTTGTGTGGAATTGTGGATACAGTCATCATACTTTCAATGAAAATTAATTTCTGCTACTTCCTACTTGATTTATAGATCTTTTACCTCATGCGTCTTCTCAAAAACACTTGTGCGAATTGTTCAAAATCAATTTGGGGCTCATGCACATCTTACCAGATTCCACCACTGCGTTTAAAGTATATGCTTCGATGGCATCTACAGTAATTGTAGTGGATATCTGTGGATGACAGACTCGCTATTGCTGTGGCAGCAGTTCTTGAGTTTCATTTCTTAATGGCACATTAAGGTCCATTGTTGCTAGTCCCTCTAATTCTTGAATTGCTGCAATTGCACTGACTGGACTCGCAGTGTTAAAATGCGGCTTGATCAAACCAAGAGATTCATTGACTTTTAATTGCTGTTATAATGAAACAGAGGAATGAATGATCAATTCGATGACAAGGTAGTAAATTGACCAACTAAGCATTCATGTAAGAGACTATTTAAACTTACAAAATATTCAAGTTTCCTCCTCAACTCGTCCTCAACAAATGTTTCCTGTTCCAGCAAAAATAATGTAATGAAAATGAACGTTTCCCGTGAATTTAGATAGCACAAAAGGTAGGACATGCTGACAATACAAGAGAAAATATTACATCATATATATATATATATATTGAAGCATAAGTAATTTCAAATCATATCCTGTAACATAGAGCTCTATATTTTCTACAATCCTAAAATTTCCTTACTCAAACAGCAGAATTTATTAATCCTCAGATGCGTGCGCCTAATTGGGAACCTACAAAATTTGTGCGGCATACATATGGTTAAGCGGCTTTCAATAAGGATTCTGAAGAAAAATCACCAGATTAATGTTTTTATTCATTTATCGCAATTCGCAACCAAGAGAAGAATAAAGCTCAAGTTCAATTATAAGTCCAGGTCCAATGGAATGAGTTAGTGATCAACATAAAAGCATAACCAAAAAGTTGAGAAAAATGCCTCAAAATACATACATAACCAAAGGCCATGACTTACAGAAAATAGAAACCAATCATATCCTCTCTATTTCCCACAGACGAAGAATATTGCCCCGTAAAAGAGTAGGGAGGTAACAAGGATAAGATTTTTTTTCCTTTTTCTTTTTTTTAGGTGACATGAAAAAAGGATAAAGCCCAAACATTGTAAAAGAGATGAATACTACGAATCAAGAGGGGGAAGAGAGTAGAAGACTGACGCCGCAGTCTATCTTCCACCGTCACAATGCAGTCAATAATTTCGAAAGGGAAACATATCATTTCACATAAGCTAACCAAGCGACTTAAGAACAGTGCTTAGCTTGGACGAGATCAGAACCTATAGGGCATATTCATAGAAACGCTCGAGCCCGGAAGAATTTTCATGCATAACCACTAACAGAATTACCTTCTTTGGCCGGCCGACAGATTTTAACGCGGGATCTTTGGGTCTCCTAACCCCTTCAACAGTCAGAGGAGGCCGTCCCGGCAAAAATCCCCCACCTGGCCTGCGCCCATGGCCGCCGCCGCCACTACTATGTCCAACAGCTTGTGGTGGCACTGCAGCTGCACTCTTCTTTGGTCTTCCTCGACCTCTTGGAGATATACTTGGTAAGGTAGCATCTGGCGGTACCGAGGTACCAGTGCTACCAGTTACGGTTTCGGCGGATACAGCGGGACCGGGAGGAGCAAAAGGGATGGCCCTTACGTTCGTTTGATTTTTAGGAGGGCGACCAGGACGCCTTTTGGTCCAGTTAGAAAAGGCCGACTCAGATTTGCGCTTGGGAGGACGCCCACGTCTTTTCGACCCATGCGGTCGCCCCCTCCGCACAGATGGCCCAGGCTGGTCCCCTATGTTCGTGCCAGCGTTCGGTGAACGACCGGGACCCTTTCTTATCACCTCAGGGCTTGCGGGCTCATCTTCAAGACCAAGCGCAAACAACACAGGGTTGGCGTTTTGTCGAACGCCAGGCTGAGGCAGCAGGTCGGCGTTGGGCTTGCGCTTGGGGGGCCGACCCCGTCTTCTCTGGGCGGCAGAAGGGGAGGCATCGGATTTAGGGAGCATGTAAGATTTCTTGACCATAACAAGACGACCACTGGTCTTCAAGCGATTCAAATGCTGAGTCAGCAAGGCGGGGTGAGTTGAAGGAAGGCGCGGATAGGCTTGTTCTATGAACTTGGCGATGGCTTTCTTGCTGGACCCATTTCTACCGTTGAGAATCGCGATCGCTGAACGTATCGTCTGACTTAGGGGAAGAATCCGAAAGGGGCATTATGAAAATAAAGGAGGTGAACAGCAAAAATATTAAGTCGAGAGCAGGAGAGGGGGGAAAGAAGAGGCATCCAGATAAGTATAACGTCCTTGTTCGGTGACATAATCTTACCTCAGCATAGAGAGGGTGGTTTTCCGAATTTGGACTGGGACAATTCGATCTCAATACTGCAAAATGTATGTATGTATGTATGTATATATGTATATATGTATGTATATATACACCCATATGCTATACGTTGTATGAAGATTTTAGTGTAAATTTGACAAATTATGTTAGTATTCACATTCTTTAACGAAGTTAATAACTTTTTTAGTAATATTTGTTTTTTTATAAGCAGTCTTAAAATATTTTAAAAGTAAATTTTATATTCTAATAATATTTACACTTTAGAGTTTAAAATTTTGTGAAAAAATTTATTTTCAAGTAAGGTTGCATGTTTTTACTAATTATGATAGCCATATTTCTATGTTATGTTAGTAACTTTAACAGTCTTATGTAATAACAGTATTTATACTTGCACATATTTAAACTTGAAATAAACATTAGCATTATATTACACTAATTTCAATACATGTACACTATATTTGCATCCCTTTTTACACAGAAGATATCATATCTACCTAAATGATACTTCTACAGTCTTCTTCTCAAAAAACAATGTAAACTGCAAACTTATTTGCATAACTTGTCACCTCCACAAATAAAAAAAATATGGTGTGGGTGTCTATATAAAAAGTTATTCAATAAATCAATTGCAATACTTTCAACTCCTATCATTGATGACATTATTTTTAGCTGCTCTTCATGATTTATGCCTTCTCTAATCAAGTTAGAAACTAATCTTTCATCTTTACAGGTCATCTTTCTTTGTGAATCTTTTATAAAATGTCCTTCAATGTGAAAATAACAAAATACTTCTTTTATTAAAGTACTTGCCATATGAAAAATAAATTTGCAACAACTATAAGCAGTATACAAATTTATTACTTCATAATTATCATTCCCGTAATCCTAACCATGATTACAACAATTCAGCATTTATGTTGCATTTTTCAACATTAAGATATTGTTTGGTTGGAGGGAAGGTAGGGAAATTTTTAAAATTTCCCCTCCCCTCCCCTCGAACACCCCCCCAAATTAAGGGGAGCCCCCTCCCCTTGGACCAAACAAAGCATAACACACTTCTCATCATAAAACAAAAAAAATCTAGCATCTTTTTTACATCTTTCTTGTTCTTCACTCAATTTGTTTAATATTATCGTTCTCGTAAATCATTTATTATATGTGTCTATATATATAATCTATTAATCATTAAAAAGATTATTATTTTTTAGCTATAGAAGAGAAGTGATGTGAGACAGCATTTACAAGCTTTAAAAATTTGCTTGTGCCTACATGGTAAAGGAGATGTTAAAGATAGAGAAGAGGAAATTATAGATTTTTATTGCGCGCATGACAAAGGAGAAAATGTAAAAGAAGCAATCATGTAATTATCTATTATCAAGAGAGGAGAAGATGATGATTTAGATGATCTACTCAATTAATTTTCACCCACATTTATCACACGTGAGATCAGATTTTTCGCACTCAAAAACAAGAATAGAGAACGCAACATAAGCTGACTTGTTGTCACATTTTAGTGTTTAGAGAAAGGGTAATTTTGTAAAGTTGAATATATTTTTTATCCTAGTTTAGGTCCTTGAGTGAGATTTCAAAATATTATGATCCTTGATTGAGTTTAATGTCCTTAAGAGGTCTTTAATTATTATTTTTCCTTATAACAATTGTTAAGAAATAGTATTAAACAAGTTATACATATCAAATATGTGCTAGCTATTGGCCATTAATGGATTTATTAAATATTTTAATATTTTTATACATACGTTTATTTTAATAAATATAAAATAAAAATAAAAACTTAAATTTGCCTTGTTCATATCTTATCAAGGGTGATAAGTATTATAGTGTTCATTCTTTAATAAGTATAAAAGATAATCCAAATTTAATATCATGATTTTTTTATAATTTTTATATATTTTTATTTTAATAAATGTAATATAAAAATAATTTAAACTCAATGGCATAGATCATCTAAGGAGAAATAAAAGGCCAAGGTCATGCCATAGGATGATTGATAAGCACTGAATGCAGTTTCTAATAATAATATATTCCACTCAAAGTGCAACCTTTCCTACTCATATCGTCGTTTAGATTTTGACTATTTATATTAAATTTGAATCATTTATACTGCATGTTTTAAAAATCTTAACTTTTTATTTATTAAAATAAAAGGATTATAATTTTTTTTATAAAATGTGATCAACAATTTGAACAATTTAAATTTAAAATGAGTAATCCAGATTTAATGTTATTTTTTATAATTTTAAAATTAAATTTAAACCATCAATATTAAATCTAAAATATGCATATTGGTGATTAGATTTAACAAAAAAAATTATAATTTTTATAATTTGACTATTCAAATATAATTTAGATAATGCAGATTTAATATTAAAAATATAAAAGTTTTTAATAATAAATTTGGACTATACATATTAACTTTTATGGCCCAGATTGCTAACAAGATGTATAAAAAAATTATAATTTTTTTCTTAATAAATGTAAAATTAAAATTATAACATTTGGTGAGGACTGTCCAAATCTAATTTAAAAGATCTAAATTTAACAGATGATGAGACAAGGGTTGGGGGAGGGAAGTTGGCTCCGCTCACTCCGCTCCACCTTGCTTTCATTGTAGCTGCGCGCATGTCTTTAGCTTGATTCAACCTATTTCTACACCTAAGTAGCCATTTGTTGATTGCTATTATAATATTTTTCTGGTTTCATATTTTATAGTGGCTTACTCTTTAGAAGGCATAGCAGACCCTACATAAGGACAATGCTCTCTCCTGGTTTTATTGTATAGCGTCCTCAAAAAACAATTTGTCTTTGATATAAGATATTTAATGTGATATTAATTATATTTTTTTAATATTACTTAAATTTAAACCTATTCTTTTTCTTTAAATGCGGATAAAATTTAAAAAATACTATAATTTTTTGGAAACAAACATGTGTGTCTATTAAAAGATAAAAATATCATAAGTTAATTACATTAGACCAAGGAGCAAAACTAAAATTAGTAATTAAAAAAACATGAAAAGATTATTTTATTTTCAAACAAAATTAACAACTTAATCACCTTTCATTAATTTTGATAAAGTAGGTAGAGAATAAGAAACAAAGGGAGTATTATTTTTTTTTATTATGCAAAACATTGTTTTTAATAACAAAAATCCAAACGAACAAAACGCTTGACTTTAATTTTAAGTATGCTCTGTTGGCGGAAAAAAATTAATTATACTCTAACTATATAAATTTTAAAATTAATAAAATAAAAAAATTACAATAAGTATAATTTTTTTTTCTTATTCAAGAATAACTAGGAGGAAACTCGACAAAGCAAAATATGTGGTATTTATATGAATGTTTGTGAATTTACGCGTGTCAAGAAAAGTGCATGACAATAAAGGGCGTTTGGTTTAATTGATTATGGAAGTTGAATAAGCTTATTTTATGATTTTGACTTCCAATCCTGTAATGAATAATCATATTAAATAAGTTTCCAAGATGCTTAGCAAGTAAATAAAAAAAGCGCAAAACTTTTTTTTTTTTTTTTTACCGACAGAATGGCGTGTGATATTATTGAAAGAGTATTCTGCTGAACAAAAACTACTAATTTCGTGTCTTCCCAAGCATTGTCTTAGGTCCGTTTGATATGTTTACGTCTTATATTTAGAAAATAAAACTTTATTTTTAAAATATTAAAAATTGTTTGAATAAACTATTTTATAAAAAAACATATCTTAAAAACACATTTAAGTAGTATTTGAGAAAGTGAATTTGAGAAATGTAACTATTTAAAGATCTTAAAAAGTAAATTTAAAAAGTAAGATGTTATTTAATCATATTACTCTAAATTTAATCTCTTATTTTTTTATTTAAAAAATAATTAATTCGTTAAAAATATACTTATAATTTCAATAATAATAATTAGGTATTAAGTTTTTAGTATTATAAATTGAAAAATTAATCATGTTAATTTTTAGGATTAATATATAATAAAAATTATAAATATTTATCATACTTTTTAAAATTATAAATTAAAAAGTATAAATAATTAGAGATCAAATTTTTAACATTTTAGGCTAAATTTTGTGTTATTTAAAATTTTTACTATATTTTTTAAATGTTTTAAATATATTGCACTTGTATAATAAAAGTTACAAATCATTATAAATTAATGTTTTTTTTATAATTGTGCATTCAAAAATATATTTTACTATCATAATTTAAATAATTTTTAATATATCAAACTGACTTTTAAAAAATATATTTAAATATAAATTTTATTATAATAATTAATTTTTATTAAATAAATTTATGTTCTCCTATTTATACTATAATTTCTATTGCTTCTAATTCAATACAATTAATTTCTTATCCTACCCCTTGCATTCTTAATACTTTCTTTTTATAATTTATCTAGTAATATATTTACTTTTGCTACTGAAATATTTGCTCCTGTATCAACTAAAGCATGATATTTTCTAGATCTATATTTTTTATAATTAAATTTTATCAATATGTAAAATAATTTTTTCATATCAATTTTATTTTTTGAATTACTATTATTTGATGATTAATATTTATCATAATTCTTTCTTGTTATATTCTCCATGGTTTTACTTATTCTAAGAAATCTATTCTTAGTATTATTTTATATTGATTATTATTGTCATCTATTACCCAAAATTTTACAGTTAACACATCTCTTTCATTTATTTTTATTCAAGATATTGTTCTATTTCCTTCATTTGTTACTTCAAGATTATTATTTGTTAATCCTAATTGTATTGTACTTTTTTGTTCTCTTGGGTCTACTAAGGCCATTACATCTATCCAATTAGCATCTTGTTTTACTTGTATAGCTATA